ATGCCCTGGACGTCAAGGGTGAGACGGCGTGTGCTGGCGGGCACAGCACAGGAGGTGTTGCCGTGCAGAACGTGGGAGCCACCCTACCCCTTCCTGGTGCCGTCCTCGAAGGCTGGGGACCAGCTTTCTCAAGACCTCGGTCACCCAAGGGACGCTTTCAGTGCCTGTGCTTTGCACACACCCCCGGGACCGACCACGCTAGGGACGGGGCCCGCGTCAGCCCCCTTGGCCGGCCACCTGCAGGGCAGCGTGCACGTCGTCCAGGAGCTGGGCCGCCTGTGGCTGCTTCTCCCGATACCGCTCAAACAGGTGGTTCTGCCGCGCCCGCTTGATGATCTGGGGAGAAAGAAACAGGAACCCAGGAGCGACCCTTAGGGAGCCTGATCCCCCAGGTACAGCAGCCCGAGCAATCCCTGCTATGGAGGACGGGGACAGGGCAGGCGAGCGAGGGTCTGCAGACGTGCGGTTGTTGCCTGCAGCAGCCACACACCCAGCACCCACTGGGCACAGCCCGAGTCTGGTCCCAGGACTGAGGTGGCCTTAGAGTGCTCGTTCAGCAGGTAAGGACACAGGTCCACCCCAGTGGGTTCCACAGCCAAGACCACATCTACTTTTCCCTGCCAAAGCAACACACCCTCCTGACCCCGAGCCCATAGGACCCTGCCTCAAACGCACCCTCCTGACCCCACCTCGAACGCGCCCTCCTGACCCCGAGCCCGTAGGACCCCTCCTCAAACGCGTCCTCCTGACCTTGAGCCCATAGGACCCCGCCTCGAATGTGCCCTCCTGACCCTGAGCCCGTAGGGCCCCTCCTCGAACGCGCCCTCCTGATTCCGAGCCCATAGGACCCTGCCTCGGATGCGCCCTTTACCTTATCGTCAATGTCTGTGATGTTCATGCAGTAGAAAACGTCGTATTTAAAGTAATCCTTCAACACTCTCCTCAAGATGTCGAAAGAGATATAGGACCTAAAGCAAGAAGGAAACATTTCCAAGCTGCAGGCCCTGTACGTGACGTCCCTGTAGTGACTCAGAGCCGTCCAAGTGAGGGGGACCCGCACTGCACCTCCTCCTCACGGCCACCCTCCGGGAGACCCTCCGCGTCTCAGCCGCGTCCAGCCACAGGCTGAGGAGCACACAGGCCCAAGGCTGTGGCCTGAGGACAGGCGAGACACGGGAACGTAGACAAAGAGCCGGAAGCGTCCTGGGGCACTAACGGCAGGGCCATGGGGACTGTTCTCTCGAGTTCTCGGCAGATCTTCATCTCCCCACAGTGAACGGGGCTCACTCAGGTCACTGGAAGCTTCATTTTAAGGACAGCAGAGTCCAGGCATACACTGGTGTACAACCCGCAGACTCACAAGCAGGGACTCAGACACCTGCAGACCAGTGCTCACAGAGCACCGTCCACACCACCACTCGGCACCACAGAAACGGACCAACACGAGGTGGTCATCCACACAGTGGGGCATCACTCAGTCATTGGGGGACACGTGGAAACATGGGCGAGCCCTGGACACGTGATGCCTAGTGAACACACATGACATGGGCAAGCCCTGGACACGTGATGCTAAGGAGGTGAATCAGACCAAACGCTGCAGGACCCGCTCCCGTGAAGTACCTAGACCACACAAACAGAGAGAAGACTTCCCAGTGGTGACTGGGGGCTGTGGGAGGGGAAGAGGGGGTACTACTTAAGGGTGCACAGCTTCTGTTGAGGGGATGACAAAGTCTGAAACGGACAGAGGTGATGGTCACACACCATGATAAATGTAACTGACGCCACGGAATGATATGCCCCAAAAAGGCAGACTTGGCAAATGTGCTCTTAACGCAAATCTCACCCAACACAGTCCCTGGCCGAGCTTCC